ATCTGATTCCTTTGGCCTCTATCCCACGAGACCTCTGAGCTACACTTTTACTCATTTTCTCTAACCTAAAAGGGTAGGCAAACCCTGTTACTGCAAGGGGGTTAACCACAGAACATTCTCTCATATAGTCAAGTTTTACCTCAGAGCTTAGGCCACATTTAAAAAATTAATTAATTATTTTTGAGACAGTGTCACACTCTGTCACCCAGGCTGGAGTGCAGTGGCACAATCATGGTTCACTGCAACCTTGAACTCCTGGTGCCAAGCAGTCCTCTCACCTCAGCCTCCCAGCTGACCAAGAGTATAGGCACACACCACCACACCTGGCTAATTTTTGTGCTTTTTGTAGAAATGGGGTTTCACCATGTTGGCCAGGCTGGTCTTGAACTCCTGGGCTCAAATGATCTGCCCACCTCGGCCTCCCAGAGTTCTGGGATTACAGGTATGAGCCACTGTGCCTGGCCTTTTTTTTTTTTTTTTTTTTGAGACGGAGTCTCACTGTGTGGCCCAGGCTGGAGTGCAGTGGCCTGATCTCGGCTCACTGCAAGCTCCACCTCCCGGGTTCACGCCATTCTCCTGCCTCAGCCTCCGAGTAGCTGGGACTACAGGCGCCCGCCACCATGCCCGGCTAGTTTTTTGTATTTTTTAGTAGAGACGGGGTTTCACTGTGTTAGTCAGGATGGTCTCAATCTCCTGACCTTGTGATCCACCCGCCTCGGCCTCCCAAAGTGCTGGGATTACAGGCTTGAGCCACCGCGCCCGGCCGCCTGGCCTATTTTTATTTTTTAATACAGACAGGGTCTCACTCTGACACCCCAACTAAAGTGAGGTGGTGCCATCATAGCTCACTGTAGCTTCAAACTCCTGAGCTTAAGCAGTCCTGCCTCAGCTTCCCAACTAGCTGAGACCACAGGCATGCACCACCACTCCTGGCTAATTTTTAAATTTTTTTCATAGAGACGGGGGTCTCGCCATATCGCTCAGGCTGGTCTGGAACTCCTAGCCTCAAGTGATCCACCCCAGCCTATCAAAGTGCTGGGGTTACAGACATGAACCATCATGCCCAACCCAAGGCCACTTTTTATAGTTGTGGTTTTGTTGTTGTTGTTGTCATTGTTTTTGAGGGAGTGAGTGGAGTGGGGGTTGAGTTGGATAGAGCAGAGTGAGGATTGTTAAATGCCTGTCAGCTCCCTAAAGTTCTTGGTAATTCCTTATGTTTGTGCATAGTTGAAAATTTCTAGGGGGATTTATTTCATGGCTTTTATCATATTCTCGAAGGACCCACAAAAGGTAAAACCCGCTGACAGGGGAAAGTGGTGTTCAGATACCATTTAGCTCTTTAGCAACTCTTAAGACATTTGCTTTTCAAATTTCAAACATATAGAAAAGTTGGAAGAATAATGCAGTGCTTGCCCAAATTCTCACTATCTAGTTTTTTGGTTTTGTTTTGTTTTGTTTTTAGAGACAGGATTTACTCCATGTTGACCAGGCTGGACTTGAACTGCTAGGCTCAAGTGATCCTCCTGCCTCAGCCTCTGGAGTAGCTGAGACTACAGGTGTGCGCTGCACCTGGCTGATTCATTTTTTAATTTTTGTAGAGATGGGATTTATTGTTATATTGCCCAGTCTGGCCTTGAACTCCTGGGGTCAAGTGATTCTCTGACCTCGGCCTCCCAAAGTGCTGGAATTACAGGTGTGAAACTGCTGCACCTAGCAGATCACCTAGTTTTTTGTTTTTTGTTTTTTGTTTTTTTTTTGAAACAGTCTTGCTCTATTGTCCAGGCTGGAGTGCAGGGGTGTGATCTCGGCTCACTGCAAGCTCCAATTCCCGGGTTCACGCCATCTTCCTGCCTCAGCCTCCCGAGTAGCTGGGTCTACAGGCGCATGTTGCCATGCCCGGCTAATTTTTTGTATTTTTAGTAGAGACAGAGTTTCACCATGTTAGCCAGGATGGTCTTGATCTCGTGACCTTGTGATCCACCTGCCTTGGCCTCCCAAAGTGCTGGGATTACAGGCCTGAGCCACTGCACCCGGCTTTTTTTTTTTTTTTTTTAAGATGGAGTCTTGCTCTGTGGCCAAGACTGGAGTGCAGTGGTACAATCTCAGCTCACTGCAACCTCCCCTTCCTGAGTTCAAGCTATTCTCCTGTCTCAGCCTCCCGAGTACTGGGATTACAGGTACCCACCACCACACCTGACTAATTTTTGTATTTTTAGTAGAGATGGGTTTCACCATGTTGGTCAGGCTGGTCTCGAACTCCTGACCTCAAGTGATCCACCCGCCTTGGCCTCCCAAAGTGTTGGGATTACAGGCATAAGCCACTGTCCCCAGCTACCTAGTTTTGATGGATGTATTTCACCACGTTTGTGTTCTCTCCAGATAGATAGATAGATAGAGATCCCACAAGCCCTTTGAAAGTAAGTTTGGGACATCACTTTTCCTGGACACATCTCAGCACGTTTTTCCTAAGAGTGAGGACATTCTCCTGCACAATCACAATATTATTATCATACCTAAGAAAATCTACCATAATTTTCCCCTATCTTTTATGACTTTTCTTTTTTTGCAGACTCAGATCCAGTTGGGGTTCTCATATTGCATTAGTTGTGTTCTGTCCCTTTGATCACTTATTTATTTATTTATTTGGAAATAGGCTGGAATGTGCATACAGCTCACCACAGCCTCAACCTCCCAGTCTGATTCTCCCACCTCACCCTCTGGAGTAGCTGGTACTACAGGCTGGGCCACCATACCTAGCTAATTTTTTTTTGTTGTTTTAATTTGTAGAGATGGGGTCTCATTATGTTGTCCAGGCTGCTCTTGAACTCCTGGGCTCAACAATCCTCCCATCTTAGCCACCCAAAGTGCTGGGGTTACAGGCTTGAGCCACCATGTCCAACCTATTTAATCATTTTTAATCTAGAATAGCCCACTGCTCAACCCCCTCCTTTTAAATGACATTAATTTTTTGAAGCGTGGGTTCATTGTTGCCCCATTTTCTTCATTTTTCTGAGTGTTTCCTTTTCATGTTCATCTGTCCTCTGCATTTCCTGTAAAAGCAATAATTTGCTGAGTATACAACACATCTGATAAGGCCCCTACCATTCCTTAATGCTTATTGTTTGAGGTTGGGGTCACTGGCATGACCCTGCTGTCAGCACACAGTATAATGGAGGCATGTTTGAAATGTGAGCGGAACAGCAGCTAATATTCAAGGAAGTGACATTTCAGCTGAATCTTAGTAGAGAAGGTAGGGACAATGTAGATAAGCATTGATACCTGAGAGCAGTAATTCCCAAGTACTGTGGGCTGGTTGTCCCTGGCAGGTGCCAGAGGACAATCCTTGAAGGTTGTGAGGAGCAGGTTGTTTATTTTTGTTTATGTTTGTAGAGACAGGTCTTGCTCTTTTGCCCAGGCTGATCTCCAATTCCTGGCCTCAAGTGATTCTCCCACCTTGGCCACCCAAAGTGTTGGGATTACACGCTTGAGCCACCTCGCCCGGCCAGGAACAGGTTGTGCAGGGTCATAAACTCTGTGCCAAGATTAGATTTGGTCCTAGAGGCTTTGGGAAGCTACTGCACACATTCTTTTTAGATTATATGTCATTTCCTGTCATATCACTGTCCTGAGATAAGCATGTTTTGGTCTATCTTCTCCCTAGGGGTATATGTGTGTTTCCGAAGGATTTAAAGCTAGAAGTGACCTCAGAGTTGTGTTAGAAATAACAATTCTGGCCACTTGGTAAGGGACGGATTTTAAGGGGTGGATTGTCCAGGACAGAGGTGGAGAGAGAAAATAACTTATGGACACAGGGACTTTCAGGAGCTGAAACCAACGGGAGAACCAGGGTTACACTCAGAGGTTTGGGAAAGGGTTGCGTGGTGCTGTAATGAGCTCAGCTGTCACCTCCCTGCCATCTGTTCCTCTTCTCCCTTTGCTCACCAGGCAGATAGAAGCTGTCACACAGGCTTCCTGGTTCCCATGTGGCTGATTCCTTAGCCATGGTTCCTGGATCCTGGGAAGGGACCCCAGGAAAGATGGGTGGCCACACACATGGTGTGAGTGAGTGTGCTCCCAGACAGAGCAGGCTGCCTCATCTCAGCCTTTCCCAGCCATCTCTCTCTCCACCTTGCAAACCTTGGTCATGGCCTTAAGGAGCCCTGTGAGGTGGGTATCAGTGCTCTTAGTGTTTGTGGCGTGAGTGGATCTGGCCCCCCCAGATTGCTAGCCAAGACACCAGCAGCAAGTACTGCAACAGGGGCAGTTGCAGTTGCCTTAGTCTGGTGATCTGAGTTGAACAGGGGGCCCTTTGGGCTGAGCCTGTGCCTCCAGGCGGGTGTGTATGTTCATTGTCCAAGACAGTCTGCTCTGGAGGTGGTGAGTGCCACTGTGGACAGGCACTCTAGTGCTCTCTCTGATGTGGGTAGTGACCTCTCCTTCCTCACCTTCTCCCACCTGGGCCATTCTCCTCACAGCCGCAGGTCTTTCCTCACAGATGAGGACACTGCAGATCACGTATTTCTATGCTATCCTTTCCCAGGCCAGGAGGATGGGTTGGTGAGAGAGGCTTTCTGTTCCCACTCTTGTTTGGTGCCTCTTGCCTGCACTTGCTATGAGCTTAAGGTTATAGTTGTGACCCCAAAACAGCAGGGCCCAATCTTCTAGGGAGGCTTGAGTTTGTGACCCTTTCTGGAATCCTTACTAGGACCCCATTTCAGTCAGCTGAGTTCCTTGGCTTCCTGAGCTGGCAGACTCCTGGACTTTGTAGAGAGGCTGCAGCATTAGGAGGACTTGCCAGAGTGCTGGTGCAGGGTCAAGGCTCTCATGGTCAGCATTTTGGTGCTGCCTATTCATAAAGTCGAGTTCCTGGTGGTCCAGGAGACACGCTTATGGTTGTAGATCTGCAGTTAATCCTGAGCCCTGGTTGGTGCTTGCCCAGGACTCAGAGGGCGAGGCACGGGTTTTCTCTGCCACTGGCTTATGTTCTTCTCTTTCTCTAGTTTGTCCTGAAGAATTATGGAGAGAACCCAGAAGCCTACAATGAAGAACTGAAGAAGCTGGAGTTGCTCAGACAGGTAGGAGGAGAATATTGTTTTTTTATGCATGGGTAGACAGGATTGGTTTGATAGGGAGATAAAGAAACCACCTAGGCCGGGTGCGGTGGCTCAACGCCTGTAATCCCAGCACTTTGGGAGGCTGAGGTGGGCAGATCATTTGAGGTCAGGAGTTTGAGACCAGCCTGACCAACATGGTGAAACCCCATCTCTACTAAAAATACAAAAATTAGGCGGATGTGGTGTCATGTGCCTGTAGTTCCAGCTACTTGGGAGGCTGAAGCAGGATAATTGCTTGAACCCAGGAGGTGGAGGTTGTAGTGAGCCGAGATCGTGCCACTGCCCTCCAGCCTGGGTGACAGAGCGAGACTCCATCTCAAAAACAACAAGAAAAGAAACTGCCCAGCCCATTTCTAGCTTTTGATGTAAAGTGAAAGACAGCTGGATGTGGTGACTCACGCCTATGATGCCAGCACTTTGGGAGGCCAAGGCAGCAGGATCGGTTCCTCCTGGAGTTCAGGCCCAGGAGTTTGAGACCAAATTCAACATAGTGAGATCCTGTCTCTACAGGAAAAAAAAAAAAAAAAAAATTAGCCAGGCATGATGGTGCACACCTGTGTCCCCAGCTACGCAGGAGGCTGAGGAGGGAAGAGGGAAGATCACTTGAGCCCAGGAGGTTGGTACTGCAGTGAGCCAACCATGTTCATACCACTGTACTCCAGCCTGACTGACAGAGTGAGATCCTGACTGTTTAGAAAACAAAACAAAACAAAAAAAGTGAAAGATGAGTGACTCTTCCTTTCACTTAAACACTTAAGAGACCATTGTAAGGTTATTAATTGGCCTAATTTCCATATTATTGTATCTCAAGGAATAGGGAGGCCTGAGGAGAGGGAGAGAGACAGGAAAAGGCCAGCCCGTGAAGCAGCAATAACACACGGGACATTTATAAGTCTGCCGTCTTCTATGGGTGCAGTTCACGGCACCAAAAACAATTACAATAGTAACATCAAAGATCACCCATCACAGATCACCGTAACAGATATACAGTAAAAAACAGTTTGAAATATTGTGAGAATTACTAAAATATGACACAGAGTCATGAAATGAGTGCATGCTGCTGGAAAAATGGTGCCGACAGGCCTGTGTGATGCAGAGTTGTCACAAACCTTCAGTCTGTAAAAAACACAGCACCTGCTAAGTGCAATAAAATGACGTATGCTGTATTTTTCCCTGATTATTTTATGTATTATTGGATAACAACATGTTTTCCCTTATGTTTTTGTTAGAAGTCTGAGAGTCTGCACTGGCATGGCTGAGCTTGAGTACCAGTGATGTAGATACATGCCATAGAAATCAGTAGCTGTTAGTGTTTTCTTATCTGTCATGGACCACATACCAATCCTTGCAATAACCCAGCAGTATTAGCAACTATTTTCAGTATACTACCCATCAGTAAATTTTTGGATATATTTTCATTTAGTCTAGTGGGTGAAGATATTTTCTTTTTTTCTTTTTTTGAGACCTAATCTCACTCTGCCACCCAGGCTGGAGTGCAGTGGCACGATCTCAGCTCACTGCAACCTCCACCTCCCAGGTTCAAACGATTCTTCTGCCTCAGCCTCCTGAGTAGCTGGGACTATAGGTGCCCGCCACCGTGCCCAGCTAATTTTTTGTATTTTTAATAGAGACAGGGTTTCAACTTGTTGGCCAGACTGGTCTCGACCTGTTGACCTCAGGTAGTCCACCCACCTCGGCTTCCCAAAGTGCTGGGATTACAAAGGCATGAGCCACCGCGCCCGGCCTGGGTGAAGATATTTTCTCTGTCAGTTATTCAAAGTTAGTACAAGGCCAGGTGCAGTGGCTCAGGCTTGAGCCACTGCACCTGAGGCAGGTGGATCACTTGAAGTTAGGAGTTTGAGATTAACCTGGCCAACATGGCGAAACCCCTCTCTACGAAAAATACAAAAATTAGTTGGGCATGGTAGCAGCACATGCCTGTAATCCCAGCTACTAGGGAGGCTGAGGCAGGAGAATTGCTTGAACCCGGGAGGCAGAGGTTGCTGTGAGCCAAGATTGCACCACTGCACTCCAGCCTGGGCGACAGAGCAAGATTCTGTCTCAAAAAAGAAAAGCTAGAAATTATTACACTTAGTGAGGAAGGCATGTGAAAAAGCTGAGATAGGCCAAAAGCTAGGCCTCTTGCACCAGATCACCAAGTTAGGAATGCAAAGAAAAAATTCTTGAAGGAAATTAAAAAAGAATCGAATGATGTCATATCTTTGGATATCAGATTCTCCCCCTTCCCCGGAATTTGCTAGTTTTTTGTGTTTTTGATTGTTGTAGGCTACCCCTGTGCCAAGAATCAGCCTGAAATGTAAACTGAAAGTTGTTTTTTTTTTTTTTCCTGAGACACGGTTTCGTTTTGTCGTCCAGGCTGGAGTGCAGTGGCACAATCATGGCTCACTGCAGCTTCCATCTCCCCAGTTCAAGCCACCCTCCCACCTCAGCCCCCAGGTAGCTGGGACTACAGGTGCACACCACCGCATCCAGCTACTTTTTAAATTTTTTGTAGAGGTGGGGTTCCCCTCTGTTGCCCAGGCTGGTCTCAAACTCCTGGGCTAAAGTGATCTTCTGGCCCCAGCCTCCCAAAGTGTTGGGATTAAAGGCGTGAGCCGCGGCACCCGGCCTTGTAAACTTAAGGTCTTCACAGGTCTTTTCTGAGCCTGTACCATTCCCTGCACATGCGCAGTGACTTTCTCATTTCCCCTATATATGTGGTTGCTTTTGAACATCTTACTCTTCAATGTCTGCCTCCCAAAGGAGGAAAAAGACAAAAATGAAGAAGGGAAAAGATGCCAGGCCTTTAGATCCCTTGGACTTCAGCTAGGGGTGGAGAAGCTTACAGCCATGGAGGGAGGTGCAATAGTGGAGGAGCTGCCTCTCTCTCTGTACCTCTGTGATCAGAAGCAGCAATCAGCAAGATCTCCTGTATTTGGAGTACAGAGCCCTTTTTGTCCATGCTGGCTCCCACAAGCTGCTCCTGGAACTGGTGCACAGCTACCTCCCAGGTGCTGGGGGTGGGGGATGGGTGACTGCTACTATGGTAGGGGCTGAAATTGACCAAAATTAATGGCAATGAACTGCACTGTCAAAGCCTTCCCCTAGAAGTTGCAAGCCTTCAATAGACTCCAGAGTTAAGTCAGATTCTGCCAGTGCAGCTTGTCTTGGTGGGGAGACAGATTTCTGATGCTTCTTATGCTGTCTTCTCAGAACCCTCCTCATAAATTGAATCTTTTAAAAGGGTTTATTTGAACAAAGTTTGAAAACCAGTGAGATAATCTTAGCCCCTAGGACAACCATCATTTTGCACACACAGGCATACACTATACACAAGGACGCAACACCCCCTAGAAGGAGCATTACCACCGATCTCCAAAGCGTCCTCTGAGACATATCCTCCAAAGCATAAGGCAGGCAACCTGCACAGAGCAACGGGCTGGGTAGAGCAGCCCCTGAGAGAGCTGTGAGCCAGCAGCTTTCAGACCTGTGCTTTTCCAGCACAAAAAAAGCTCACACAAGGCCATCTGGGGTAGCCGCTTCCCCTTCCTGGGACTTGGTTTAATTTATCCCAGCAATGTGCGAGTTGGACTAGATCACTGTTTTTGTTTTTGTTTTTAAAGACAGAGTCTCACTCTGTCGCTCAGGCTGGAATGCAGTCTATCTCAGCTCATTGCAACCTCTGCCGCCTGGATTCAAGCGATCCTCCTACCTCAGCCTCCTGAGTACCTGGGACTACAAGTATGCACCACCAGGCATGGCTAATTGTTGTAATCAAGCAATCCTCTGCCTCAGCCTCAGAAAATGCTGGGATTACAGGCGTGAGCCACCATGCCTAGTCTTGATGACTGTTCCTTAAACTTGTGAAACCCCAGAACAAATTTTCTTACATAGGACACTGATAATAATCTTTCAGTGAAAAAGTTATTGGGAGCTTTAGGCAATGCTCTTTCCCTCATCTGTAAAACCAGGGTTTGAATAGTTGTTTCTAAGAAGACTTCCCTTTTGAAACTCTGGAGTACATTCTTGGCTCTGTGATTACAGGGAATAAAACTGACAGGTGCAGGGGATGCTGTGGGGGTGTCACAGCATCAAGCTGTCTCTCAGACTCCTCTGTGCCTGAGAGTCTGACAGACCAGGCTACAACCACAGGGGGCTGCATTCTTGGGTGGATTAAAGGGTACAGGTGATCTCTTGGATCTGGAGGGGAGACTGCTTCCATTATTTCCCAAAGATGGTTTTAGGAAGTACAAGACAAATTTTATTTTATTATTTATTTATTTTTGAGACCAAGTTTTGCTCCTGTTGCCCAGAGTGGAGTGCAATGGCAAAACCTCAGCTCACCACAACCTCTGCCTCCAGGGTTCAAGTGATTCTTCTGCCTCAGCCTCCCGAGTAGCCACCACCATGCCCAGCTAATTTTGTATTTTTAATAGAGACTGGGTTTCTCCATATTGACCAGACTGGTCTCAAACTCCCGACCTCAGGTTATCTGCCCACCTTGGCCTCCCAAAGTGCTGGGATTACAGGTGTGAGCCAATGTGCCCGTCTTATTTTTTTTTTTATTTTGTTATTATTTTTTGAGATGGAGTCTCACTCTGTCATCCAGGCTGGAGTGCAGTGGCGCGATCTTGGCTCACTGCAAGCTCTGCCTCCCGGGTTCACGCCATTCTCCTGCCTCAGCCTCCCGAGTAGCTGGGACTACAGGTGCCCGCCACCATACCTGCCTTATTTTTATAATTTTAGTAGAGACAGGGTTTCACCTTGTTTGTCAGGATGGTCTCAGATCGAGACCACCTGACCTTGTGATCTGCCCACCTCGGCCTCCTAAAGTGCTGGGATTACAGGTGTGAGCCACCATGCCCACCTTTTATTTTATTTTTTGAGATAGGGTCTCACTCTGTTGCCCAGGCTGAAGTGCAGTGGCATGATCATGGCTCACTGTAGCCTCCACCTCCCAGGCTCAATCACTTCTCCCCCTTTCCAAGCCTGTAGTCCTAAGTAGCTGGGACTACAGGTGTGCATCACTGCACCTTGCCAATTTTTGTATTTTTTGTAGAGGTGGAGTCTCGCCATGTTCCCCAGGCTGGTCTCAAAATCCTGGGCTCAAGCGATCCTCCCACCTTGGCCTCCCAAAGTGCCGGGATTACAGGCATGAGCCACCATGCCCAGCCAAGATTTTTAAATATTTTTATATGTGCTACTTTAGTGAGTATTGAAAAAAACTGTGTGGCTAGTGCATCACACCTGTTATTTTAGAGCTGTTATTGCTTAGGATGTGGCTCTTGATTTTAAAAATGGGTTGTTTAAAGAAAAATGTTAAGTACAAGTGGTATTTGGATATGGCAGAGGTCATGATGGAGGGGTATGATAAGAATGACTAGATTTGAGAAGCACTGCCCTAATGCTGTAAGCTGTGGCTGTGACATGCCTTATCCTTGCACTGGGCATTCTAGAGGCCTCACCACCAGGGAGATTATCATCCCTGTTTAAAGAAGAGACTGAGTTTCAGAGTCTCCCAGGATCCTGCTGGGAAGTGGTGTAGAGTACAACTGATGCTTGACTCTTCTGTTCTGCTGTCCCCAGGGTGTATGTACCCCTTCTGAGAGCATCCCTGCTGGCAGCTCAGAGCTGAGCTCCCAGAGTGGAGTGTCCTGGAGGATTTCTTCTGGCTAAGTCCTAGTGAGGGGCTCTGGTCCTCTGCAGGGGGCTGAGGGCAGACAGGTGTCAAGCCATCCCCCTGACTGTGCACCTGCTCCTTGGAGGGTGTACTGTTTGCTTTTCTGTTTGTTTAAGCAGAGGGTTCATTTGTTTTTTTGTTGTTTTCCCCCCAAAATAAGAATAGGTCTGTTGTTTATCATAAATATTGAAAATGTTTAATATAAAGAATACATAAACAATATGAAGAATTAAATACATGTCTCTGTCAGATGTATATCCATTTATTTATTTATAATTATTATTTTTTGAGACCGAGTCTCACTCTGTCACCCAGGCTGGAGTGCAGTGTTGCGATCTCAGCTCACTGCAACCTCTGCCCACCAGATTCCAGTGATTCTCCTGCCTAAGCCTCCTGAGTAGCTGAAATTACAGGTGTGCACCACCATGCCTGGCTAATTTTTGTGTTTTTAGTAGATACAGGGTTTCACCACGTTGCCCAGGCTGGTCTCGAACTCCTGGGCTCAAGAGATCCACCCGCCTAGGCCTCCCAAAGTGTTGGGATTATAGGCATGAGCCACCTCGCTCAGCCATATGTATCTATTTATATAGAATAAGATAAATTACTTAAATCCTGTCATCCCGAGATAATCACGGTTAACATTATGGTATATAATCTTCTGAATCTTCTTTTTGTTTATGTACCTATTTGTGGTTTTTTGTTTGTTTTTTCTTTTGAGACAGAGTTTTGCTCTTGTTGCCCAGCCTGGAGTGCAATGGCATGATCTCAGCTCACTGCAACCTCCGCCTCCCGGATTCAAGCAATTCTCCTGCCTCAGCCTCCCGAGTAGCTGGGATTACAGGCATGCACCACCATGCCCGGCTAATTTTTGTATTTTTAGTAGAGATGGGATTTCACCATGTTGGCCAGGCTGGTGTTGAACTCCTGACCTCAGGTGATCCGTCTGTCTTGGCCTCCCAAAGTGCTAGGATTACAGGCGCGAGCCACCTTGCCTGGCCTATGTACCTATTTGGATATGGATATCAGTATTTGTATGATTCCATTTGTTACAATCTTTTTTTTTTTTTTTTTTTGCCCAATAGCATGCCATAGGCCTCTTAACATATGAATAACTAGAGACTCTTGTCTTTAGTTTTCATGGCTGCAGAATATTCTCTTGTGAGGCACCTTGACATAATTAATTTAAAACAGTCCTCTTTAATGGGAATTTTGGCGGGTATCCAGTTTTGCCTTTTTGTTTTTTTTGAGAGACAGAGTCTTGCTTCATCACCCAGGCTGGAAAACGGTGGCACAACTGTAGCTCACTGCAGCCTTAACCTCCCGCTCAACCGATCTTTTCCTGTCAGCCTCCCAAGGAGCTGGGACTGAAGGCATCATCACACCTAGATAATTTTTAAAATTCTTTTTTGTTGAGACAGGGTCTTGCTACATTGCCCAGACTGGTATCTAACTCCTGGCCTCAAGCGATCCTCCCACCTTGGCCTCCCAAAATGCTGGGACCACATGTGTGAGCCACTGCACCTGATCTGGAGTCCAGTTTTTGACCCTGGTAATAATGCTGTGATAAATATCCTTGCATTCATATCCAAGCATTTACTTTCCTGGATGTCTGTTACTGTAAACTGTGAGATACAGAACTGTGGATCACGCTGAGTGGCAGCTCACGCCTTTAATCCCAGTACTTTGGGAGGTGGAGGTGGGAGGATCACTTGAGCCCAAGAGTTTGAGAACAGCCTGGGCAACATGGCAAAACCCCGTCTCTATTAAAAACAAAAAACTGTGGGCCAAAAGTTAAGTACAGTAAAAAACTTAAAACATGTTGCAAATTGCTTTTCAGATATTTGAGATGGGCTGGGCACAGTGGCTCACACCTGTAATCCTGGCACTTTGGGAGGTTGAGGTGGGTGGATCACAAGGTTCGAGACCAGCCTGGCCAAAATGGGGAAACCCTGTCTCTACTAAATACACAAAAATTAGCCAGGCATGGTGGCGTATGCCTGTAGTCTCAGCTAATAGGGAGGCTGAGACAGGAGTATTGCTTGAACCCAGGGGAGCATTGTATTCTAGGCTGGGTGACAGAGTGAGACTCCGTTTTTTTTTTCCTTAAAAAAAAAAAAAAAAACTACGTGGGATGGATTCAGTCGGCCAGCTGCCAGCCCTGGCTTGTGGAATGGTTTGTTGAACGACTATAGGTGTAGCCATGGACTTTTTGGGATCCCTTGGCATGTGCAGTCGGCCAGCTCTGATGCGTTTTCCTGGCATTTGTGGGTTAGCTGGCCTGCCTGTCCACTGCCCCATATGACAACAGGCCTGCTTCTCCCATCCTGCCCCCCCAGAATGCTGTCCGTGTCCCACGAGACTTTGAGGGCTGTAGTGTCCTCCGCAAGTACCTCGGCCAGCTTCATTACCTGCAGAGTCGGGTCCCCATGGGCTCGGGCCAGGAGGCCGCTGTCCCTGTCACCTGGTGAGAGCCCCAGGAAGGGCTGGAGGATCCCGGGGGGGAGTCTGGGTGGTGGGGGTGCTCCTCCCCTCCCTTCCCCCTTCTCCTTGCTGCATAGGATGGGGAATGGCCTCGTATGGTCCCCTAGGCCTCCCCACAACCCCACACAGGAGTAGTTAGTCCCCTTACCTAATCTCAGGGCTCTGGCCAGTTCCTGCCCTCGAGATAACTGGGGTGCCATGTCTGCAGGACAGAGATCTTCTCAGGCAAGTCTGTGGCCCATGAGGACATCAAGTACGAGCAGGCCTGTATTCTCTACAACCTTGGTGAGCTGCCTGATCCCTTCCCCATGGCCCTACTCCCCAGTCCTGCCAGCCTAGGTTTCAGCTCTTCAGATGGCCACGAAGGCAGTGGGCTGATAAAGGGAGAACTCCAGGATTCCCACCCCTCCACTGACTTCCCTACAGCCCTGCCAGCTCCTCTGCTGTTTTCTGGGCTGGGCCCATGGGGAGCCTCTGCTGGGGCGAGGTTCTACTGGTCTGGTTGCCACACAGAGTTGCCACTGTGTGCTCTGGCTGGGAGAGATGGCCTTTCTTCTTTGACTGGACAGCCCCTCCCCACTGTGGTTTTGGGCTGCTTCAGGAAGGAGAAGAGCAAGGCTGGCCTCAGCTTGCCCTGCTAGTCAGCCTTAGCCTGGCTCAATGGAGAAGCTTGGGGAGCCCCAGAGTTCTGTGCAAACATCCCTGAAGCTTCAAGATTGGACCCCTTGGACAGGAGCCCTTCCATCCTCTGCCAAATGCAGAGCAGGAGACTGCAGACTGGGCAGGATTTCTGAGTTTCGATGTTCCCTCCAGCTTGGGTGTCCTTGGACTCATTGCCCTGGTTCTCAGAGCCCTGTTTTCCTGACTGTGGATGACAACGGTGCCCCTTCTGCCTCACCTTTACATGGGTGTGAGCAGCCCCAGGCCCCCTAACACTGTGTCCCCTCCCTCCCCAGGAGCACTGCACTCCATGCTGGGGGCCATGGACAAGCGGGTTTCTGAGGAGGTGAGGAGAGGGGCAGTAGTGGAACATGTGGACATACCAGGGAGGGGCAGCCTGCCAGTTATGGATGAATCCTGACCCATGGAGTGGACACAGGCCATCCTCCCACTCCCTCCCAGGGCATGAAGGTCTCCTGTACCCACTTCCAGTGCGCAGCCGGCGCCTTCGCCTACCTGCGGGAGCACTTCCCTCAAGCCTACAGCGTCGACATGAGCCGCCAGATCCTTACTCTCAACGTCAACCTCATGCTGGTGAGGAGGTGCCCTGGTTGGAGTGGAGTTGAATCCAGGGAAGGGGATGGCTGGGGAGGGGGCAGTTGGGCCTGGATCCTGGACCAGGCCATGTGCTGATGGCAGTGAGGGACAAGCAGGGGGCCTTGGCGTTGTTGAATCTAGGAGCACAGTGGTGCTGCTTGGCGTGGGGTCAGCTGGGGGAGAGGGCAGTGAAGAGGGATCCCTCAGTCTGCCCCTGGGGAAGGGGAAGGGGAAGGTTGAGGCCTTGGGTGAGTGAGGGACACCTCATGTGTCTCCCCAGGGCCAGGCTCAGGAGTGCCTCCTGGAGAAGTCGATGTTGGACAACAGGAAGAGCTTTCTGGTGGCCCGCATCAGTGCACAGGTAGGGACGGGGCTGATGGGAGGCCTTCGTTTTACTGTTGACCCCCCCACTCACTGAGCCCCACCCTGTACCCAGGTGGTAGATTACTACAAGGAAGCATGCCGGGCCTTGGAGAACCCCGACACTGCCTCACTGCTGGGCCGGATCCAGAAGGACTGGAAGAAGCTTGTGCAGATGAAGATCTACTACTTCGCAGCCGTGGCTCATGTGAGGGCCTGGGGCCCCAGGGTGGGGCGGGGCTGAGTGGCCACAGCTCAGGAAGCAAGTCATGGCGCCTCTTCTTCTTTCCCAGCTGCACATGGGAAAGCAGGCCGAGGAGCAGCAGAAGTTCGGGGAGCGGGTGAGTGAGCTGCAGCAAGGAGGGGACTGGGGACCGATAGCAGCCTTCAGTGAGATGCTGGTGTGCTCCCACTCCTTACACACCAGGGGGTGGCCTTCTCTGTCTCACCCTGGCCACTACCTGCTGCAGGCCTGGTGTCTTAAGTGTTGTCCCATCTGTGCAGCCCTCGTCCCTTGGAGTCTGAGGAGGTGGGACAGGCTCCCCACAGAGCGGGTGGCTGGGGCAGGGCGTGGCGCTGCTCCTGGCTGCCTCCTGAGCTGCTTGTCATCTGATGGGTCACCTGATGGAAAGGCAGGGCCGGGTGGGAGGCAGGAGGAGTAGGGGTCCAAGCAGAGGAGGACAGAGCAGGCTTTCCTGCCACTCTCCACAGGTTGCGTACTTCCAGAGCGCCCTGGACAAGCTCAATGAAGCCATCAAGTTGGCCAAGGTAAAGCTGAGGAAGGCCTGGCTGCCCCTCAGACCCTTGGTTGGTGCCAGCCTTGGTTGGTGCTAAGACCCCACCCCTGTCCCTAACCCCACAGGGCCAGCCTGACACAGTGCAAGACGCGCTTCGTTTCACTATGGATGTCATTGGGGGAAAGTGAGTCTGTGGGGGTGGCCCTGGTTCCCTCTTTTTGTGAAGGATGCTGTACCTCTGCTGGCATCTTTGGGAGGAAGCCTTCAGTGCCAAAGAGCAATGTCCCACATGGGAAGTAGGTTCTGGATCTCCACTGACACTCCGTCACTGCCCACTCCCCCTGCTCCTGACCCCCAGGTTCAATTCTGCCAAGAAGGACAACGACTTCATCTACCATGAGGCTGTCCCAGCATTAGACACCCTTCAGCCTGTAAAAGGTCGGGGAGCTGAGAGGTGGGGGCAGAGGTGACGGTGGGGTGGAGACAGGACACAGGAGGCTGCCTCAAGGACTCTGCATGGGCCTGATCTCCCCAATTCCCACCTCGCCAGGAGCCCCCTTGGTGAAGCCCTTGCCAGTGAACCCCACAGACCCAGCTGTTACAGGCCCTGACATCTTCGCCAAACTGGTACCCATGGCTGCCCATGAGGCCTCGTCACTCTACAGGTGGGTGGAGGGTGGAACAGAGTGAGGCTGGGTGTCTTGAGATGTGGGTCTCCAGCAAATGCTGTGTTGCTTCTGCAGTGAGGAGAAGGCCAAGCTGCTCCGGGAGATGATGGCCAAGATTGAGGACAAGAATGAGGTCCTGGAGTGAGTGTGGGACTTGGGCCGGGAGGCGGAGGCGGAGGCAGAGGCAGGCGGCACTTCCCGGGGCTCTGGGAACCCCAGGGCTGCCTATGCTGGGAAAGGAATGAAATGTCCGTTCCAAACAGGTTTCCCAACGCTGCCTTCCCGCCCAGGGTGGTGGGGCTGGTGTGTAAGGCAGGAGTCATGTCTTGGGAGGAGGAGGTGCCTTCTGTCCCACTGTTTCCAGCAGTGCCCTGGGCATGTTCTGTGAGACCAGGCCAGACCTGGTAGTAGGGGTCCGAGGTCACAATTTGCTCTCTGCTGAGACCTCAGATTCAGTGGTGGGGCTTGCCTTTGTGGCTCCTTTGACATGGTCAGAGTTGGATCAGCACCCAGCACCCACCTGGCCCTGTTACCCCCCTACAGCCAATTCATGGATTCAATGCAGTTGGATCCCGAGACCGTGGACAACCTTGATGCCTACAGCCACATCCCACCCCAGCTCATGGAGAAGTGTGCGGCCCTCAGCGTCCGGCCCGACACTGTCAGGAACCTTGTCCAGTCCATGCAAGGTGAGTAAGGGGCAGAGCAAGCAGGTGGAGGGGAGTGTGGAGGTCATCTGCTGTGGCCTCCTCCATGTCTCTGGTCACCGAGGATGGAGGCTGCACCCCTCTAGGCCCTGGCTTGGGTATCCATGCCCACTCCTCTGGATCAGCATACCTCTTGCACCCTGCTCAGTGTACGCATACCTCATGCACCCTGCTCAGCACACCTCAAGCCCCGACCTGAGGGGGCGGTTCTGTCTCTTTGGGGAGGGGCCCATGGGTGCCCAGTCAGCCTGCTTCAGGGGCTGCCTCTACAATCCACACCCCCAGTGCTGTCAGGTGTGTTCACGGATGTGGAGGCTTCCCTGAAGGACATCAGAGACCTGCTGGAGGAGGATGAGCTGCTAGAGCAGAAGTTTCAGGAGGCGGTGGGCCAGACGGGGGCCACCTCCGTCCCCTCCAAGGCTGAGCTGGCAGAGGTGAGGCGAGAATGGGCCAAGTACATGGAAGTCCACGAGAAGGCCTCCTTTACCAACAGTGAGCTGCACCGTGCCATGAACCTGCACGTCGGCAACCTGCGCCTGCTCAGTGGGCCACTTGACCAGGTCCGGGCTGCCCTGCCCACACCGGCCCTCACCCCAGGTGAGCCCCACCCGACCCCATTGGGAGACTTGAGCTGGGGGTTTCTCTGGCCTCACTGACCACTGTTGCCCACAGAGGACAAGGCCGTGCTGCAGAACCTAAAGCGCATCCTGGCCAAGGTGCAGGAGATGCGGGACCAGCGTGTGTCCCTGGAGCAGCAGCTGCGTGAGCTTATCCAGAAAGATGACATCACTGCCTCACTGGTCACCACAGACCACTCAGAGATGAAGGTAGGCTGAGTGAGCAGGGTGGAGGGACTCTGGGCCCCACCCTTAGGAGTCGAGGCCCTGAGTGTCCATCCCCGGCCCCCACCCCTCCCTCAGAAGCTGTTCGAGGAGCAGCTGAAAAAGTACGACCAGCTGAAGGTATACCTGGAGCAGAACCTGGCCGCCCAGGACCGTGTCCTCCGCGCACTGACAGAGGCCAACGTGCAGTATGCAGCCGTGCGGCGGGTACTCAGCGACCTGGACCAAAAGTCAGTGCCCAGTCCTCTGCTTTTGTCTGGAGCCACCTGGAGGCCACCCCCGTGGTTCACCTGGAGCTGGCCCTTCTGCCCACCAGGTGGAACTCCACGCTGCAGACCCTGGTGGCCTCGTATGAAGCCTATGAGGACCTGATGAAGAAGTCACAGGAGGGCAGGGACTTCTACGCAGACCTGGAGAGCAAGGTGGCTGCTCTGCTGGAGCGCACGCAGTCCACCTGCCAGGCCCGCGAGGCTGCCCGCCAGCAGCTCTTGGACAGGTTCGTGTGGCCCTGGGGCTGTGGTGCGGCTTGGGTCCAGACAGCCTGGGGTGATGGGAACCTGGCCCCACTTTTTCCCTGCCTGTCCCACAGGGAGCTGAAGAAGAAGCCGCCGCCACGGCCCACAGCCCCAAAGCCACTGCTACCCCGCAGGGAGGAGAGTGAGGCGATGGAAGCAGGAGACCCCCCCGAGGAGCTGCGCAGCCTTCCCCCTGACATGGTGGCTGGCCCACGACTGCCCGACACCTTCCTGGGAACTGCCACCCCGCTCCACTTTCCTCCCAGCCCCTTCCCCAGCTCCACAGGCCCAGGACCCCACTATCTCTCAGGCCCCTTGCCCCCTGGTACCTACTCAGGCCCCACCCAGCTGATACAGCCCAGGGCCCCAGGGCCCGCTGCAATGCCTGTAGCACCTGGGCCTGCCCTCTACCCAGCCCCTGCCTACACACCGGAGCTGGGCCTTGTGCCCCGATCCTCCCCCCAGCATGGTGTGGTGAGCAGTCCTTATGTGGGGGTAGGGCCGGCCCCACCAGTTGCAGGTGTGCCCTCCGCCCCACCTCCTCAATTCTCAGGCCCCGAGCTGACCATGGTGGTTCGGCCAGCCACCACCACAGTAGATAGCATCCAGGCGCCCATCCCCAGCCACACAGCCCCACGGCCAAACCCCACGACTGCTCCTCCCCAGCCCCGCTTCCCGGTGCCCCCACCACAGTCACTGCCCACACCTTACACCTACCCCGTAGGGACCAAGCAACCCGTCCCAGCCCAGCACCACTTCTCTCCTGGGATCCCTGCAGGTTTTCCAGCCCCGAGGATTGGGCCCCAGCCCCAGCCCCATCCTTCACGAGCATTTGGGCCTCAACCCCCACAGCAGCCCCTTCCACTCCAGCATCCACACCTCTTCCCACCCCAGGCCCCAGGACTCCTACCCCCACAGTCCCCCTACCCCTATGCCCCTCAGCCTGGGGTTCTGGGGCAGCCGCCAACCCCCCTGCACACCCAGCTCTACCCAGGTCCTGCTCAAGACCCTCTGCCAGCCCACTCAGGGGCTCTGCCTTTCCCCAGCCCTGGGCCCCCTCAGCCTCCCCATCCCTCCCTGGCATATGGTCCTGCCCCTTCTACCAGACCCGTGGGCCCCCAGGCAGCCCCTCTTACCATCCGAGGGCCCTTGCCTGCTGGCCAGCCCACCCCCAGTCCCCACCTGGTGCCTTCACCTGCTCCATCTCCAGGGCCCGGTTCTGTGCCCCCTCGGCCCCCAGCAGCAGAACCACCCCCTTGCCTGCGCCGAGGCGCTGCAGCTGCAGACCTGCTCTCCTCCAGCCCGGAGAGCCAGCATGGCAGCACTCAGCCTCCTGGGGGTGGGCAGCCCCTGCTGCAGCCCACCAAGGTGGACGCAGCTGAGGGCCGTCGGCCACAGGCCCTGCGGCTGATTGAGCGGGACCCGTATGAGCATCCTGAGAGGCTGCGGCAGTTGCAGCAGGAGCTGGAGGCCTTTCGGGGCCAGCTGGGGGATGTGGGGGCTCTGGACACTGTCTGGCGGGAACTGCAAGATGCGCAGGAACATGATGCCCGAGGCCGTTCCATCGCCATCGCCCGCTGCTACTCACTGAAGAACCGGCACCAGGATGTCATGCCGTACGACAGTAACCGTGTGGTACTGCGCTCAGGCAAGGATGACTACATCAATGCCAGCTGTGTGGAGGGGCTCTCCCCATACTGCCCGCCGCTAGTGGCCACCCAGGCCCCACTGCCCGGCACAGCTGCTGACTTCTGGCTCATGGTCCATGAGCAGAAAGTGTCAGTCATTGTCATGCTGGTTTCTGAGGCTGAGATGGAGAAGGTGAGAGAGCGGCTGGGTGCCCACGAGGGCAGTGTGGGGTGGCAGGGCAGGGGATCCTGGAAAACCAGCCCTGTCTTGGTTTGTCTGTCCCTCAGCAAAAAGTGGCACGCTACTTCCCCACCGAGAGGGGCCAGCCCATGGTGCACGGTGCCCTGAGCCTGGCATTGAGCAGCGTCCGCAGTACTGAAACGCATGTGGAACGTGTGCTGAGCCTGCAGTTCCGAGACCAGAGCCTCAAGCGCTCTCTCGTGCACCTCCACTTCCCCACTTGGCCTGAGTTGTGCGTCCACTGCTCTGGATGGTGGCTGGGGGTCTGGGGTGCTGTTCATTCCTTGGTGCTGGGAGGGATGAGAGCTTCAGATCAGGTCTGGCTCATAGGCTCTTCCCCACCCCATCCTGTCCCACAGAGGCCTGCCCGACAGCCCCAGCAACTTGCTGCACTTCATCCAGGAGGTGCACGCACATTACCTGCATCAGCGGCCACTGCACACGCCCATCGTTGTGCACTGCAGGTAGAGGGCGGGCCTGACAGTCTCTATGCGGGCTCTTGGCCTGGCCTCATTCCCCAGCCTCATACCCCCTTCTTGGCACAGCTCTGGTGTGGGCCGCACGGGAGCCTTTGCGCTGCTCTATGCAGCTGTGCAGGAGGTGGAGGCTGGGAATGGAATCCCTGAGCTGCCTCAACTGGTGCGACGCATGCGGCAGCAGAGGAAGCACATGCTGCAGGAGAAGGTGAGGATCTGGGCAGGTGGGGCTGGGATGGGCTTTCTGTCTCCGGGTGACGGGCCCCTGCCTGGCTGACCTGGCCAAATGCACCTGTGCAGCTGCACCTCAGGTTCTGCTATGAGGCAGTGGTGAGACACGTGGAGCAGGTCCTGCAGCGCCATGGTGTGCCCCCTCCGTGCAAACCCTTGGCCAGTGCAAGCATCACCCAGAAGGTGAGGAAGGTTCCCTGGAAGCTGCTGGGACAGCCACAACCTTGGGACTCCCTCTCCTCACCCACTCTGTCTTCTCAGAACCACCTTCCTCAGGACTCCCAGGACCTGGTCCTCGGTGGGGATGTGCCCATCAGCTCCATCCAGGCCACCATTGCCAAGCTCAGCATCCGGCCTCCTGGGGGATTGGAGTCCCCAGTTGCCAGCTTGCCAGGCCCTGCAGAGCCCCCAGGCCTCCCGCCAGCCAGCCTCCCAGAGTCTACCCCAATCCCATCTTCCTCCCCGCCCCCACTTTCCTCCCCGCTGCCTGAGGCTCCCCAGCCTAAGGAGGAGCCGCCAGTGCCTGAAGCCCCCAGCTCGGGGCCCCCCTCCTCCTCCCTGGAGCTGCTGGCCTCCTTGACCCCAGAGGCCTTCTCCCTGGACAGCTCCCTGCGGGGCAAGCAGCGGATGAGCAAGCAGAACTTTCTGCAGGCCCATAACGGGCAAGGGCTACGGGCTACCCAGCCCTCTGACGACCCCCTCAGCCTTCTGGATCCACTCTGGACACTCAACAAGACCTGAACAGGTTTCGCCTACCTGGTCCTTACACTACATCATCTCTCATGCCCACCTGCCCACACCCAGCAGAGCTTCTCAGTGGGCACAGTCTCTTACTCCCATTTCTGCTGCCTTTGGCCTGCCTGGCCCAGTCCGCACCCCTGTGGGGTGGAGATGTACTGCAGGCTCTGGGTCAGGTTCTGCTCCTTTATGAGACCTGACATTTTTCAGCTCTTTGCTATTGAAATAATAAACCACCCTGTTCTGTGGCCCATGTCTGAGTCTGCCCATTGCTGCCTCAGCTCCAATAGCACTGGCAGGAACTTAGCACCTTTCGTGGATAACAGGATGGTACCAAACTTATACTACCAGGACAGTTCTTTAAGGGTCCTGCAGTTCTGGCTTGCTCATCCTCCCCGCTTTGCTACCCATGCCATGCTGTATGTTTCCTCAGCAGCTCTGAGGAGGGTCCAGGCAGTGTGTGTGCACAAACAATTCCAAGAGAGACCAGTAGCTCCTAAAGTGCCTGACAGATGTGGTTTTTTTAAAAAGTTTAATATTACAGTCAGGAAGCAGCGGCTGGAAGATACTCTGCTCTTTCCCCCAAGTCCAGGTTCAGTGCATTGGCCCCCACACAGCACCCCAGACCCCTGCCTGGGCAGGGAGGCCCCATGCTCAGTCCAGCTTCTCCAGCACGGAGGGCACATACACCAGGCTGAGCTCACTGCCAAAGTTGCAGACAATGGCAGCGTTGTCCAGCACCAGGATCTGGCGGGCAGGCTGGGCCTCACTGTTCTTCCCCAGGTAGACTGTCTGTAACAGGTCCCCGTAGTTTAGGTCCCAAAAGGAGACACAGCCTTGGCCGCCAGTCACCAGCAGGTTGTCTGAGATGACACCCAAGCTTGCACCACAGCCCAGATCCTGGAGGCAAGGACATGACAAGCTCAGTCCTGAGTCCTTCCCTAAAGTCCCAAGAATCCTATGATCCCCACCCCCTCTACCTGCTGAATGGAGTAGAACTTGATGCCTGTGCTGCGGTCCCAGATGCTGATGAGGTCATCCAGGCCACTGCTGATGACACAGGAGGTGGTACAGGTGAGGGAGGTGACATCCCCACGGTGAGCAAACACGTGGCTGACCCGGCTGCCAGTCAGTACATCCCACAGGCAGATGGCCCCATCTTGCCCTCCACTGGCCAGCACCATGGTCTGGGGAAACAGGCCAGGGGAGCGGGGTCACTGTGGTGGAGTACCTCTGTCAAAAATGGTGTTCCTGTGCCCTGGTGGGTGGGGCCCTGACTCTGCTTCCTGGAAGGGGCCCAGCTCCCAGCAGTCAGCAAACATGGGCCACAGGCTCTGTACCCCCGTACCCCCCTGCAGGCCCCTCACCTGGTCAATGTACACAGTCGTGATGGCCCCTGAGTGGCCCTGAAGGGTGAAGAGGCAGCACGAGTCCTCCAGACGGAATACCTGTGACAGGGATGGACCTCAGGTTCTGGTCTCTGGGATTTTCCAAGTTATACTTTGGCCGGGAAATGCCCTCTGTCCTTCACCAGGACTCCTCCAGCCTCTCCCTGACGAATGCATCAGGCTCCCACCCTGCGCCAGGCCACTCCAGCACCCAAGAGATGAGACAATACTCACTCTCAGCGTGTGGTCTTGACTCCCAGTCACCAAGCGCCCGGCAGCGGCTTTCAGGGCTGTGATGGGTTTTTGGTGTGCACAGGGCACTGTGTGGGTCAGGCGACAGGCCACTGTGTCGCTGCTGCTGTACACTGGAGAGGCAGGGGAACTGCCCCGCCCTGGGGTCCCTGAGGACAAAAGGCCAAGTGAAGGATCTCTGAGAAGGCAATGGGCAGACGGCCCCTGCACATCCCACCAAGTGTGAACACCTGCCCGCCCCAGGCCCTCTGACCTCTAAACTGCAGGGGGCTGAGGGAAGTGTGGGTCTCCAAGGAGAAGAAATCAAGGGAACCGTTGAGCCGCGCAGCCACAATCCTGGAAGAGAAGAACAGCTGCCAGGGGCCTCTCCCTTAGAGCCCCAGGAGAGCCCCAATCCTGGGGCTGAGCATGTGGGCACAAGAGAGATAAAGGGCCAGTTCAAGAAGGGACAGGAGGGACATGGCCAAGAGGAAAGCGCATGGTGCCAGAACAGATGCTGGAGCCAGAGGGCAGTTCCAAATATTAACCTCCTTGTGCCTCAGTTTGTCTGCAAAATAGGGATAAGAGTACCCACCTCACCGGATGGTCATGAGAATCAAGTGAGCTAACGTGTAAGGTGGTACCTGGTGAATGTCACGTAAGTTTGTAAATTAAAAACAAGCGGAGGGCTCCATGTAGCCTGGAGCTGAAGGGAAGGCTGCTGAGGGGAAACAGGATGCAGAGTGGGCTATGTTGGGCATTGCGGAAGCCTGCATTCTCCATCACATAAAAGCAGCTTCAACCCAATCACAGCCCACACCAATTCCTTTTTCCACAAAGAAACAAGGATTTTTTTTTTCTCTCCAAAATTCCTAGGTACAGTCTGACAGGCAGGGATGGGTATATTTGCCCAATAACCCCAAAGCCTCGAAGCAGGTGGGGTTCAAAATCTTACTATAGCGAAAGGCAATGCATGCCTACAACCTCTGCCCATGAATTTGAAGGGCCACACCAGACCTGGGGAAGCCACAGTTGTAATGATTGGAAGTGGGTGGACAAAGAGAGACCACAGTCACCAGGAACCCTGAGGGTCAGGGCTGAGACCTCAGGGCTTTCCTTAAAGCTAAAACAAGCAGCAAAGCAGAATTTCCAAGAAGCACAGAGGGACCTGGTGAAATTGGCCAGGCTGGAGAGGATGTCAGCCAAGGCCCATGCAGAACCTGTACTGACAGGAATGACGGCAGCAGCCACTGGCAGAAATCCACAGCACTAAGGGCAACGGACGCCCCCCTCCCCAAGGAAAAAGAAAGACTCTAGCTCTAGGTCAGATGGTGCTGCCACCAAGAGTCAAGGAGCCTTGGAGGAGGAGCCAGTGTGAGACAGGCAGGCGAAGGCGTTCGGCAGAAGGCACCTGGCCATTGGGTGGAGACCCAGGTTCACCAGCTCGGAGGTGGGGCCAGAACCCAGGTGACTGAGACTCCCCAAGGAGTGTGCATGCAGACTGAGCCCTGGGGACGCCCACAGCCAGCAAGCTTGCTGAGGAGGGCAAGCACGACAGGACCAGGGAGAGCAGAGAACAGCTGCCAGCAGCCAAGGAGAAGAGGGTTCTGCAAGCACACTTTGTTTCTGTAACTAAAAATGCAACCAAGATACCCCAAAGGTTCAATACTGACAAGCTAATCAGAGAAACTGGCTTCATTGAGAAGGGTGAGAAAGGACAGGAGTGTATCACTCCCCACTGTCACTGCTTAAGGCCCTGGGAGGTCACCGTGTGCCAGGCCCAATTCCAAGCACGTCACACCCTTAACGCTTTTAATTGTTACCTTCCCATCCAAGTGGACTGCCCTCTGCTCACACGTGTGGGGCTGGTCATCAAGAAGGTCAGTCGAAACATACAGTGCAGCAGTCGATGGGAACCAGAACTCAAGACTCAAGAGAGTATGGCCTAGCCAACAAAGGCTGGGGACATCTGGGGCTGAGGCAGGCCACACTCACCTTTTGTCCAAGAAGACCAGAGCGGTAATGCCTGAGGAGACCTCCTCGCTGCTGCAGCACAGCACCCCTTCAATGGCATCCCACACCTGTAAGTCCAGAGGCTGTGAGCACCTGCCCACCAGAAAGGCCCACAATCCCCGGGGTGGACAGCCGCTCTGCCCACCTTTAGCCCCTCTGCCCACCTCCAGCCGGCCGCTGCTCCGCCCCACCACGATGAGGTGGCCCTGCAGCTCCAAGCTCCAGATGGAACCCTCCGCACTGGGGGCCCAGGCAAGGGAAGGGGAACCTTTCTCAGGGGAGCCACCCTCGTCCTCAGGGGCCTGGGGCAGCACTGGCCCAGGCGAGGGTGGGCGCAGGGCTGGTGTGCAGACGGCCGCCAGCCCCTCCTCCTGGTACACGCGCTGCACCAGGCGGCTGAAGTCATAGCCTAGGGAGTCCCGAGCACGGCCACAGACTGCCCGGTGCCGGGGCTCGGGCTGAGTGGGCTGTGAGGGCTGTGGCTGCGCCGAAAAGTTGGTGTCAATTAAGCAGGTGAGGTCAGGCTGGTCCCCGAAGAGGGAAGGCGGTGGAGGGTCCCGGGGGCGGTGTCTCAGGGGAGGGCTGTCCCCAGGCTCCTCTGGGCCAGCCTTCCCACCATCTGAAAGTCGTTCCCAGCTCTCCTGAGCCTCAAGCCCGCTGCCCACGCCACTGTCCCGGCGCTGCCTGCTGGGGGCCAGGATGGTGGAGTGAGAGGGGATGTAGGAGAGGGGGTGTGGGGGAGGGGGAAAGGGTGAGGGGGAAGTGAGGGGCCGTTAGAGGGGACAAGCGGAGCGGGTGCGGTGTGGGGGTGGGAGGGAGCCTGGAGGGGTTGGGGGATACATCAGAGGGAGAAAGGAGGAGAGATACATGGCTGCACGGGGTAGGTCGTGGGGTGAGGGGGGTGGGGGGGCACAGAGGAGAGGGCAGCCGCACCTACCCTGGGCGCGGGATACGCGTGAGGCAATCCCCGGTCTGTGCGTCCCACACACAGACGTGTCCTGCCAGGCAACAGCTCACCAGCAGCATGCCGTCGCTGGCCAGGCACTCGATGTCCTGCGGGAGCCCGGTGTTGGTGTGGGCCAGGCCCCAGCCCTCCCCTGCCTGGCCGCTGTGCCCCTGCTCACCATGAGGTGGCCGCGCAGGACCAGCGGCACAATCTCCGTCTCAGGTGGGGCATAGCCGTAGTCATCGCAGGGCAGCTCTCCACGCCTCCGCCGCCCGGGCCCGCTGCCCGGCTGCCCGTAGTTGCGCGGGCACAGCACACGGTACAGGCAGAGCAGCAGCAGCACCAACACAATGCCCGCGGCTAGACCCAGTGCCGCCACCCTGCACGGGAAGGCGGACTGCTGTGAGACACACCTCATAGCCTGTCCCCTCCCCTCCTCCCTCTCCACTACTCTTGCCCACCCGTCCCCCTCCCCGCACTCTATCCCACCCCACCCCACCCAGCAACCTTACTTGTACAGTGTGACGTCTCCATGGGCCTGCACCCCACCTGGGCCCTTGGGTCCCGCTTCCCAGTGCCCAGCAGGTATGGGCCCCGGTGGGGGCCAGGCACTGCGGCCATCCTGAGGGTGCCGGCCCTCCAGGGCCTCCCTCGGGTTCAGGCGGAGTGTGACTG